CAAGGCAGCACAAATGGAAGGATGGAAGACAGCATGGCAGACAGAGATAGAGACACACACCATGTGTGAGAGAGACGCGCATTGCCCCTTTAAGTACGCTGACCCCACTCTAAGTACATTGCCTTTTTAAGTAGATCAGCAAGTTGAGACAGCAGCTGCTGCCAGCAAGCTCCCTCTGTCCTGAGCCCTGTCGTGTCCCATCCCCCCTGCTCTATGTAGATTGGATAAGCAGGGGGCAGGAGCAGGGGCACACCCTGACATTAGCCTCCCTCTCCCCCCCTGCACAGCAAGCAGGAGGCTCCTGGGAGCAGCTCCAAAGCGGAGGGCAGGAGCAGCACATGGCAGTGGCGGGAGGGACAGCTGAACTGCTGGCAACTGATAGCCTGCTGGGCAGCTGCTGCACAGGAAACTTAGGGGAGCGGGGAGCTGATGGGGGGGCTGCTGGTCTACCCTGGTTCCAAACCCCCACCAGCTAGCTCCAATGGGCTGCTCTTTCTGCAAGCGGTGGACAAAGCAAGCGACTGCCAAACAATGTTATAAGGGAGCATTGCGCAACTTTAAATGAGCATGTTCTCTAGTTGATCAGCAACGAAACAATGTTAACCGGGACGACTTTAAGTGAGGAGTTACTGTATTGCCCTGAGAAAGGCCTTCAAGGGTGGGCCTTAGAACTGGTCAGAGGTCCTGCACGCTGCTTCACCCCCTCCTTGGCATGGATTGAAGTAGTAAAATCAGGCACAACTAGGTTGACTGGTGGCTCCAACCTATGTTCCCTCCCTGCTCTTGGAGCCTCTATAGGGCAGCTTCCCAAGACTGACATTGCTGGGACTTGTGGGAGCTACCACTCTCTAAATCCTGTCTGTGCTACTCTGTGTCACGATAGATTTCAGCTGCAAAATCCACACAAAGTTGGTGCTCCATATAGATGCATTAACTCCCTATTGCAGCTGCAATTCCCCTTTACAAAGGGGACAGGGCACAGTTCTAGTGGACATGGGGTGGTGGGGTTCTTCTAGTATAGGGGTTCCTGGATCCACACAGTTGCCATCACTTTCTCTTTTCATCCTTGGGATGTGGAGGGTTTGTAGGCATCTCACTGCCTCCCAAGGACACTTAGAGAGGAGAATACCAAATGAAACCCCACCAGAAGAACCCTCAGAATCTCAATAGAATTATTCTCCCACTGAAAGTTAGTCCACTGAAGGAGAAACAGCTGACCAAGCTATGGCGATTAAGCCACTGTACACAAAATGAAATATTTTTCTTTTTCTACTGTACATGAAGTGGAATAAATCTAATACAAAAATAGGTATATGAGTTAATCATAAAACAGAATGATGACTCTTTGCTGCCACCTGCTGGAAGGTTGCCTTTCTCATTTCTCCCTGCAGTATCCTGTTGGTACACATACCAAAATGCAGTCATTATATCTAAGGGAGACATGTGGAATAGCAGAATCTTCTATGCAAGAAACCACAAAACTAAAGCCCATCTTCCTTAGTGGGCAAGCTAATTTCGTAACGCCCAACAGCAAGTCACCTTTAAGATCATTGAGGATTAAGAGATTCCAGAACTTCCTTTTAAGAAACTAGAGCAGATGAGCACTCCACTTCCAAACACACTGTTAAATTCCAAATCAGCCTCTGTGGTCTTCCCTGTTGATATCCCTAGCACTTCGATTACTTGACTGGGAAACAGTTAAGAATTGACTCCTATTTCAAACCTCTCTGGGAAAGCACAGGTAATAGTGATGAATACCAACTCTGAACATTTACTTTAGTTTATCAGGGTGCAAATTGTCAAAGAAATATAAATACAACTAGAAATTACAACTGACCCTAAAAAGCCAACAATGAGAATGCTTTTGAAGCGGATGATACTTACCATACAAACATATTAGGGTAGGAAGTGGGAAAAGAAACACCGTGTTCTAACTACAGCATTATGTTTAAAAGAATAACTGAATCTTCAGTTTTGAGTAAGTGTATGTCAGTGGTTATCATCATGTCCTAATAAACACAGACACTATGCTATCATACTGGAGTCTAATTTAAAGAAAATTTTAGCAATTCAGAGCACCAACAGAGCTAATAAACTCTAGTGGCCGCAGATGATTTTTTATATATATACACAGGTAATTTACCAGCCAAGGAAGATTACTTTTGTACCATGTCTCACTCCAATGAAAACACCTTTCTTTATAAAAAAAAAAGCTTACTAAGGAACAGTGCTTACATCATATTAACTAGTGCCTCACCATAATAAATTCAATAGCAGTGGATGCCACTTTTCCTTAGAGAAAAGCTCATTTTCTCCAAGACAGAAGGGATTTTTTATATTATTATATAAACAGAATAGTTTAGCTGACTCTTCTGTCTCTGCAGCAAGCATTTCAAAATGCATCAACAGAAGATAAAGTACTGTAATATTTTCAATATATACGGTGGTCACATATTCAGTGTAACTACTCAAATATTTATCAGCATCTCAAAATAGGAGGCAGTCTGCTCTTGTGATTACTGTAGGGGACTGAGAATTTAGGCAACTGAATCCTGTTCACAATTTAGAGTCTGATCCACAGCCTACTGAAGTTAATGAGAAGACTCCATTCACTTCAGAGGACTGTGCACTGGGACATTAGTTAGTGACCTCAGTCAGCCCCTCCTATTCTCTGCCTCTGGCACGTAATAGTCTAGTCTCCTGTGGGCTGTAATGCTTTGGTCTAATTTTGGTTGTTGGGTTTACTATGCAGGTGCTGGGTGGTGGTGGTGGTGTGTGATATACAGGAGGTAAAACTAGATGATCTGGTCGTCCCTTCTGGCCTTAAACTCTATAACTCAGTGTGACACCTGGAGCAAATCACTTACTACTTCTGTGCCTTGGTTTCCCAATCTGGACAAAATCAGCTTTTATGAAGTGCTTTGATATCCTTGAAAGAAAAAACCCCAAAGTATTATCTTACTATTAAGTACAGTGATACTGCTATTTCTGATCTGGTGGACTAGCAAACTAAAGATAGAGAGCAACGGAGTAACACTTGATAGCAATGCAATCTCTATGGATGAGTATGGTGCACCCTGAACTATAGCTTTCACAGATTAATTGAGTTTCCTGCCACCTACTAGGAAAACCATTTCACAAAAATTGTCCATATCCCAATACTTTTACAGTGTATACTAATAATCATAACAGATAATTATAACTCTCAATGTTATTACCATCAACAGTTTAATTTAAACCGTAAATTATTGTGTTACTAGTTTCCAGTGTTGCTTTCAATTAACAGAGGAATTAGAGAAGTTAGAGCAGGAGAGGCTGGCACTAGAAGCTACCATTCAAGACAATGAATTTGAAGAAGAAAGTCATGGTATCCGTGGATTGTTTGACAAAGCCAGAAAGCTCAATATTACCAAGCATGTAACCAAAAAAGGTAAGTTTGTAAATGACATACAAGGACACTTTAATAACACTTTCACTGAGACACAGCTATACCTTCATTCTAGAGAAAAACTTCTAAGGTACAATGGCATCCTTTGATTTTAGCTAACGGAGCTGCCATTTAATTCAGACAACACATTAGGGAAATGTGCCAATGGAGTAGGAGAATGCTGTGGACTTGGCTTCTGGTACTATTTCCTCCCCCCCGAACATAAATATATTAGTTGAGATAACTATGCAATGAGGTATATAGTGATCTCTGCTGGTACAAGATGTTACCTGATATGACAGAACTAATTTCTTCTGTCATTTTTCAGATGAAATGCATGGCTTTGTTTTTTTACTTTTAATCTAATTGATAGCATTGGGTATGGCTACTAAATGTTTAACAAACACAGATCAACAAGTTCTTTGCTTATATGGGGTCATTTTTTCTGAAATTTTATAAAAATGTTGAACTGTGCACAGAATTCAGGGAACAATCAAACTCAAATTCTCTATTGTACTCAAAAACACGTGCGGATGAAAAATACGTAATAAAAATGGCCATCGTTCTATGTTGTGGGTACACGGTCATACTAAAGGAGTGAACAAATGTATGCATAAGCACTGAAAGCAAACATACAACATGTTATTAAACGAATAAAATGGACTGTAAGTAGTATAGTGTGGTAGGATCTAGACTACTAAAATTTATATGGGATGTAAACAAACCCATATGAGAAATATAGTAAATCAACAGCAAAAGGTTTACTGAATGAAAATTCTCATTTCACAATTGTTAGGGTCTGATAATGACCCATCCAAAACCATTTTTGCATTCATAAAAATATTTTTTTGAATTTTCTACTACAGAAACTATAGTCTATCTATACACTAAACTTCCAGAGATATCAAGAAGATATCACAGACTAATAGCAGAAAATGTCATTAATTCTTTACTTGGCAGTGCTCAGTTAATTTTCCTTGTTAGAATAGAATTCCCTCTCATAACAAATGCTACAAAATATAACGTGCTTCAACTACCCTTTTCTGTTCAGTTCAGAAAGAAAATAGAGCTGGCTGGGAATTTTGCACTGGAAAATCATTTTGACAGAAACTGCCCTTTTAAGAAAATTGAAATTTTCTGCAGGAAGGGATTTCTATTTTCTGGTCAGCTCTATTAGGAAATACATATTGCACACTTTTGCTCTGCACACTTTTCAAACAGAAATATGAAAATACATTATATTAGTAAATATCCCTGTCTTCCCATTTTGTTTATAAATATATTCTCTCTGGAGTTGTTAGAACTCCCAACATAGATGCCATACTACACAGGAAAGCTGATAATTGTTTTAGAATTATCTTGTCAAAACTCTAGGAACACTTGAAGACTGCACAAAGCATCTTCTGAACCTAATACATCAGAGCAAAACCTATAAAGAAGCCTGTCTGCTCCACTTTAAATACTGCTCTGACACTGTCTCTTTGAAATCATTGGAAGATAACTGTAATAAAGTCACTGGCTTCAAAGAATGATGGAATGGGAAAAATATTGTTAGTATATTGACAAAAATGTACATTTTTAGACAGAACCAACATTGCAACAAGAAGCAAATCATATTTTTAAATCAACACAAAGACCTTCCGGGGCATTATATATGTCCCAGGCTTACATTTTCCTCCTACCCTTAGGGCTTGTCTACATGGGGAAATTGCCCAGAAGGCCTTTAGGTCTTTGCCCCACCTCAACCTTCTCTGTATCTAGTTAGTTGTCCATGTCTCCCTTTAGCAAGCCCTATAATGTATTTTATGGAAGATTCTATATTTTGCAACACATGAATATGTCTGTGATATAAAAGGTAAAAATAATTGTTATTCCTTACATTTCAAAACAGTTCCTATCTGCCTAGGGTTTCAATGATACCCATTTTAGAATAGGTTATCTCATCCACAGAAACCTGCTCCCTTTTACAGCTGTTACAATTTGATGCAGTAAGGGCCCGATATCATAAAAACTAACACCAGAGCAAATTTGCTCATGCACTGCAGTTCCGGTTGGTACCTCTGGAAGTGGTGTGTGCTGACATATTAAGGTTCAGAAGATGATTTATTTGTGCAGTAAGGGTTTTCAGGATTGAGGCCTCAGAACCATGTTACCAAGACAATCCATGTACCTCCAACAGATATAACTGAAACAGATATAACTGAAAGCATGCCCCAAAACGACTCTAAAGCAAACATCCTGTAAGTATTTACGCACATGCTGACTTTAAGTCTGAAAGTCAAAGCAAGCTCATGTGGTGACAATCAAACAGGAGTCATATCACATGTGATCCCCCTCACTGACAGAAAGCACCATACCGTGCCTTTGTGAGATACTGAACTGAACGCTTTCACTATGTCAATGAAGATGTCTCCTAATGTTTTGTGGGGTTTTCTGGCTTTACTTATGTGAATACATTTAAGCACATGCATAAATGTTTGCAGGTTTGGGGCCTGAATCATTTCAATACGTTATCTATATAATAATTAATGGTGAATAAAATACCACCTTATGCCATGATCTGAAATTAATTCATTGCTTTATAACCCCACATTTAAAAACTAGCTTATATTTTTTGTTTAATGTAAAAGATAATATAAACTATTATGAGATTAGACAAAATTTCACAAATCATTTTTGATTCCCTAAGAGACATTTCATTATTTTGTCCAAAGGGTTCCAAATCCCAAAAAGAAACAGGAAGAAGAAAAATTTCACCCAGATGATGGGTTTTTTTTCCTCCTTGTTTCCAGAAAGCAGATTTATCAGAAAGTTGCTTTGCTTCAGTTCTCAAAAGAAAAGAAGATACACAGTTTTCTTTCTCATTTCAGACAGCAGCATTAACACAATCCAGTCTATGCATGTGGGTGAATTCAATCAGAGGCTGCTAGAAGCCAGCAATCAGTTTAAAAAGAAACAAGGGAAAGGAACAATTGATGTTTGGTGGCTGTTTGATGATGGAGGTAAGAGATTGAAAAGGACACCCCAGGGAGAAAGATTTTTGAGTTGCCAAATATAAATGCATACTTGGGGATTTATATAAAATGATAACACTTACATTATGTAGGTTATTTTTTACATGGCTTAAATATTTTAAGATAAATTTGTGTATGTCACTACGAAGAAAAGGAGGCGGCTTTATTTTTACCACAAGCGCTGACTTTCATTTTTCTGGGTGGGTGCTCCACCCCTGCTCTGCCACGAGGCACTGTCCCCACTTTGCCCCTTCTCCGAAGGCCCCACCCTTGCTCCGTCTCTTCCTGCCCCGCTCTGCCCCTCCCGCCAAGGCCCCACCCTTGCTCCACCTCTTCCTTCCCCCGTTCCTCCCCCTTACCCCAGTGCCTCCTGCCCACACCAAACAGCTATTTTTTCCCCATGGGTGCTCCAGCATCTGAGCACTCACGGAGTCAGTGCCTATGATTTTTACCACACAAGATACTCATTTGATTTCCTTGTGATTTAATATGTTTATCCAGGTTTAACACTCCTAATTCCCTATATTCTGACTATGAGGAAAAAGTGGAAGGATTGTAAATTAAGGATCTTCACTGGAGGAAAGATCAACCGGATCGAAGATGAGAAACTAGCGTAAATTTACCTATTTTCCCCCACTACTGTTTAAAATGTTTTGATTGCTTATGAATATTATTTGTATATAGTCTCCTCTACTAGTAACCTTAGCATTTCTGAGCAGGTCCAGCTTGCTTTATTTTGAACAGTAATAAAAGTATATTTCATATAGAGATGTCTAGCACTTGACAAGGGCCTTACGGGTCATTAATCTTAAATATAGATGATGACTAGCATAGGAAGATCACACCCCACATATTCTCTCACTAGTAGGCCATGTTCCCTCCTTAGAGAATGACACTCTTTAGTCTGTAATGGGAAAATCATTGTGTTCTATAGGGTCGACATGATTTTGACTAGTTAACAAGTGAAACTGCATATGAAGCCTCCTAGATGCACATGCTATAGACCAGTGGTTTTCAAACTTTTTTTCTGGCGATCCAATTGAAGAAAATTGTTGATGTCTGTGACCCAACAGAGCTGGGGATGAGGGGTTTAGGGTGTGGGAGGGGACTCAAGGCTGCAGGGGTGAGGGCTGCAGGGTGGGGCCAGGAATTAGGGGTTCAGGGTGTGGGAGAGGGCTCTGGGTTGGTGCAGGGGGTTAGGGTGCGGGAGGGGGGTCAGGGCTCTGGGTGCAGACTGTGGGGTGGGGCCAGGGATGAGAGGTTTGGGGTGCAGGAGGAGGCTCTGGGTTGTGGGGGGGCTCAGGGCTGGGGCAGGGGATTGGGATGTGGAGTTGGGGCGCAGGCTTACCTCCAGTGGCTCCCGTTCAGCAGTGCAGACGGGGTGCAGAGGCAGGCTTCCCGCCTGTCCTGTCACCACGGACCGTGTTGTGCCCTAGAAGTGGCCAGCAGCAGGTCCAGCTCCTAGGTGGAGGCGCGCAAGTGGCTCCGTGCAGCTCTTGCCCGTAGGCACCGCTCCCGCCCAGCCCGGCCAATGAGAGTGCAAAGCCGGTGCTCGGGGTGGTGGCTGTGCGCGGAGCCCCGTGCCCCCCCGCCTAGGAGCCGGACCTGCTGCTGGCCGTTTCCGGGGCGCAGTGCAGTGTCAGAACTGGTAGGGACTACTAGTTTTTACTAGTCGGCTGCCAGGGTCCCTGGGTGCTGAGCAAGGCAGTACTGGGTCGTAACCCGAAGTTTGAAAACCACTGCTATAGACAGACAGCCCACAAAAATTTGATTAGCAAGTGCAAACTTTTAAGAGCTGAAAACCAAGTCATTTAGTTTTAAAACTTTCTAGATCTCTGAGCTATAGTCTGCTTTCCATCCATGTGCAAAACAAAGTTGCTAATGTAAGCTCATTATAATCATCATTTATATAACACCATTCTTTCCAAAGCAGCCAATTTGGAATGGAATTCAGTAACTGTTTAACACAATAGAGCATCATTAGGCAACTGGTTAGGACAGGAAGTGAAGAATAACTATCCAATTATCACTACAAGGGGAATTTAAGTAGGAAGGATATAATTGCATGAGTTGGAAATTAGCCATGACAAGGCTGCTCTGTGGTTTGGTTGCATTCTCTTATGAGGACTTGAACAGGTGACATTCCACAAGGGCATGGATGAAGTTCCATGGAATCGGGCTGTGAAACCTCTCTCCCCAGTGTGGCACTGAGCTCTGTAGATCCTACCAAGCTTCCCACACCTTGTAAAAAAGGCCACATACGTATCTGTGGAGGGTATTCCAGACATTGAGTTGGTATAAACCATGCAGAATGGCTCTGTAGTTTCTCCGCTGCCTGAAAGGAAGGATTCCTTCCCCCCACGGCCATCATGCAATGTCTGGCCTAGCTACTCAGACTAGCAATTGGCTTCTGGATTTTGACTTTGCACAGAAAACAATCAATTTCATTTTGAGCTGAAGCAAGATGTTTTGGCTTCATTATGGGTATGACAGAACTTAGTAGCTTTACTAACCAATGGGCAGATTCAGGTATTTTTATTGCCACCACTGTTTCTACAAATGCCAGAACAACAATGCTCAGGCTGATCAGTGTAATCTCTGTGGTCAATAAGGTCTTCACTGACTACCATTTTATCATTGACAAGTCACCTGACCTAGTCTGTGTGGATGACTGACACTGCAGACTCAACATGAGTTTACCTCATTCTCTATACCCACACCCAGGTAAGATTAACTTGGAGACAAATTGGTCATTCTATTCCTTTTGACCTTAAATACAGGGACATCATCATTTGAAACAAAATCCTTGGTTTATGCCCATTTAATCTGTGAATCCAGAGATGCAACTAACCTCAGCATCCTACTCATCTATCAAACACTAAAAGCTTTCCAAAGGAGCTGAAAGAGACATTGCCTGACATGGTGATAAAGTTTAAAAGATTTATCATCTGAGGAGACTTCAGCATCAACACAGACAACACTTTTGATGCTATACCACAAACCAAACTCTCCACTTTAGCATTCTCACAGTTAATCTCTGCACCCACCTCCAGCAGCCAGCCATATCCTGGACTAGATGTAGACATAAGCTGCAAGAAATGCTCCTCCTCAATCCTGTTCAGATAACTTCCTCCTTCAAGTGGAAATAAAATCTCTCCTCTCAGGCAAGAAGAAATCACCACAATGATCTGCCCTAGGAAACTCTTGGATTCTGCCAAATTCCAAAAATTAGTTATAGAAAAGAAAGCAAGGAATCTAGAAAGTGAATCACTGCAACCACTCCCTGATTACTACTGTAGAAGTAGCCAATTTCGGAACTAAATGCAAAACCAATATCTGACTTGGCTAACCCTCAAACAGTGCACACAAATAAAACCTGTAAAATAATCAAGCTATTTCTCCTACAGGCTGGAAAGGAAGAAAGAGAGATATATACATTGTTTTTCTATTTTTAATTTTTTGGGAAGTGCTCAGATACTATAGTAGTGGGACCACATGAGTGCACAGATTGATAAAATTCCAAATACTACTTATCAAGCCTGTGGGCCAAATTCTCCTCTCCAATCAGTACAATTGTGCTGTATTTATTCAATGCACATAAATTCTGTTGATAACTCTGATGATAGAGGTCTGTACTGTTGACTGGAAGAAAGAATTCTCTCCTATATTTCTTTGTATATGACAGATCTTTCGGAATTTAATCTTTTAAAATATTTGATCAAAGAACCAATGTTTCCTCTAAAGTGTAAACATACTTCCCTTTGTCTGCTGCCTCTGCTTTCTGTATCTTTATGCAATTCCCACTGATCTTCCACTAAGTAACTTAGGGCTGGTCTACTCTACAAAATTAGGTCAGCTTAACTACATCGCTCCGGGCTGTGAAAAATTACATGTGAAATAATTAGTAGTAAAGCCAACCTAACCCCAGAATTCTTCCATCAACCCAGCTACCGCCTCTCGAAGAGGTTGATTTACTACAGTGACAGAAGAATCCTTTCCATCACTGTAGTAAATGTCTACCCTTCAGTGCTACAGCGGCACTGTAGCATTTCCAGTATAGCCAGACCCCTAGTTTATAGTTTATCTATAAAATTCTGTAATTGAAAACAGAAACACTAACTAAAGCATTTCAGATAAATTCACTTGTCATATAGTTAAAGTTAAAATACTAGACGATTGCTTTTGATGACTTAACTCATTTACGAGTACTCTTTGATCTGAGGTACTTAAAAATGCAGTGATGAAGTGTTCTCCCCTTTGTTTTCAGGATGACTTCACTTCTAAGCAAATTCAGAATAAAATATGCTGATATTAAGATCATTGGCAACATCAATATGAAACCCAACAAAGAGAGGTAAGAAACATTTCCAAAACCCATTATTTCACTGCAGTTCTTTATCTGGGAGTTGTTTCTTTTATACTGATTATAAAAAATTATCAAAGGATGAAAGCAAGAGCACTAAAAAAAAAGTCTTTTAAAAATAACAATACAAAGGTTGGTACTACAAACGGCCCTCCACTTTATGTTGTAATGATAAGATTTTATTTTACTACAAAGACTAATTAGAGTCCCACAGTTACGAGCCACTGAATTTAACAGGGATCATTTTATAATTGCTTTTCATATCCGTTTTTGTTTCCATGGCCTTGACTTCATCATGCTATTCATCAGATTTCACTGCAGCTCTTGAAGACTCATCTTCCCCTCAGACTTTCAGAGTCCCCTGGGTTTTACCTTGCTCAGGCATTCAGTAGCTTACCATCTTTCAGGCCAAACACACAAATGTCCATCCTTTCCCTAAAGAAGGACATTATCACTCTCTCCTATCACTCAAATATAATGAAGGCATAACACATATTTTTTTAAAAGCTAAGTACATTTATTCTCTAGATAAGTCAAGCGCGGACTGAAGAATGGGTAATATTCAAAAAATTCCATCTCTGAGTGCCTGGGCCAGAGATATTCTGAGAGCTATGCCAGCATTAAACAGTTTGCTGTCCCTGGCAAACTAGAAAACTACCGGCCCTCACATAGGGTTACCATATTTCAACACTGAAAAAAGAGGACACTCCATGGGGGCCCCGGCCCTGCCCCGGCCCCGCCCCTTCCCCACCCCCATTCCAACCCCTTCCCCAAAGTCCTTGCCCCAACTCTGCCCCCTCCTCTGAGCATCCCGCATTCCCCCTCCTCCCTCCCGCTCTGATCTTGGTTGGGGGTTGCTAAGTGCTTCCCTGCTCCCACTCGCCTGCAGCCCTGCACCCCCCACCCTGCAGCCTCTATGCCCTGC